CAGGACCCAATAAAAACTAATATAAAATTGTTGAAGTTCAGGCACACCAATATTTGAAGAGTAAACCAGCCAATGCTGGCAACTATTTTCTGGTTTTGTTCGCTGGCTTGCAGAAATACAAAAGTTTCCTCTTTTGCATTATCACAGAAAGCAAGGAGACCAAAGAAAGCTCTGCTTGGTTTTCCAAGTGGAGATGTTTCCTTCTCATTTAATTTTCTGTCTTTTTCCATGTAGGACTCAGAATATAGGCAGGGTCATAGATTTCTAATCTTATTTTCTTTAAATGGTATCAGGAGGTGTGCTTACACTGTAAGAATAATGCAATTTGATACATTGCCACGGTACAATGATATGGAATTCTGGTAGTTATAGTTTGATGAAGCACCAGCACTCTTTGGAAGACCCCATAGAACAAAAAGCTCCATGATTCTATAGCACTGATGATGGCTATTCAAGTGGTGTCATTAACACTTATTGTGTAAATGCACCACTAGAATAAATAGTGTCTTAATAAATAAATCTGACATCTATATTCTGTAAATGATTGATTATTTTCTACCAGGAAGGAAAAGAATCGAATGTTTTCTATCCAAACAGAAAAATGATTTAAGGAGCAATTGTGTGACACATAGGGTTGCCAGGTGTCAAAGATGAAAACAAAGGACACTCTGGGAAGTCCCTTGTGGTGAAAACATTACCCAAGAGACACCCATCCAGATAGTACCTGTGCTCAACCTATGAAAAAGGGGTCGGATGGGCCACAGGAGAGGGAGGTTGCCCCTGCTGCCTGGGGTCGGGACAGCTTCACCTGGGTGCCCAGAAGGAAAGACTCTGCCGACTCTGCTAGAGGGATGTGAATAGACTGGCTAGGTCCACACTCACTTCCCACCAGAAGGATGTGCATGCTCAGATTGGTGCATGTGATCAGCAGAAATATGGGACAATTCATGTCCTGGCCAAGGATGTAATGTGACGTGGGACATTTTATTTAAATACAGGATTATACCTTAAAATCTGGGATGTTTGGCAAAACAAGCCAAATGATCAGGGTTTTTTTTTGGGGGGGGGGGGGGATATGAAGTGTTAAACAGTAAGGAGGAATATGACTGAAAAGTCTGAGAACATTTAGGGCTCTTCCAGACAGGCCTTATATCCTAGAATCTGATCCTAGGTTTTCTTTTTATCCCAGTTTATCTGGCAGTGCAGACTCATGTAAACCAATTTAAAGCAGAAAACCTGGGATCAGATCCTGGGATATATGGCTTGTCTGGAAGAGCCCTTACAGTCAATCAGTTTAGCCTCTTTTTTTGCTTAGAATTTTATTTCAAAAGGAGAACATAATGTTACATATAGTGGAAATGATGCTTTAGGAAAACAATTTGATACAAGAGGAGAAAACAGGCCATTTAGAACTTTGACTTTTACTGGCTGAATTACTGAGCATTTGCATCTAGGATTTGCATTGGTGAGAGCAGAAAAAGGTAAGTTGCATGGGGACCACTGGAGAGAAAACAAATACAATGCAGCCATCTTATCCAAAGATTCTACATCCAGAAATTCATTTTTCATACATTTCAGAAACCATCTCCCTCCTGGAAGTTTTTGCAGGCCTCTCTAGATGCAATTCTATGGTACGCTACCACCTCAAAGTTTCCCCTTGACATTAAGTCTAGTCGTGTCTGACTCTGAGGGGTGGTGTTCATCTCCATTTCTAAGCCAAAGAACCAGTGTTGTCCGTAGATGCCTCCTAGGTCATGTGGCCAGCATGACTGCATGGCGCACTGCTACCATCCCACTAGAGCGGTACTTATTTGTCTACTCACATTTCATGTTTTCGAACTGCTAGGCTACCAGAAGCTGGGGCTAACAGCCAGAGCTCACCTCACTCCCTGGATTCGAACCACTGATCTTTCAGTCAGCTAGTTCAGCAGCTCAGTAGTTTAACCCATTGTGCCACCAGGGACTCCAGCCCAGGTATAGACCAAATATAGAGTTTGTTCATGGTTTCAGGTATCCACAGGGGATCTTGGAATCTATCTCCAGCTGATATGGAGGCCGGGTTGTATATCAGCTCCAGCACTGGCATATGTTACTTCCTCCATTAATGACAGGTGAGTGGGAAAGCTTTGGGGTTTACGGATGCAATGCTTCCTTGCTGCTATTCCCAATCCCAACCTGGAGACACCCCTTTGCCCTCTAATGCTGTCCACATGAGTGAAGGATTTGCAAAGAATTATGAATAGACCCCTGAAAGAAGTATAGAAAAAAGGGGGTTATGTATACTGCCCTGAAAACATAGGTTATATGGAAAATATGTGTATTTTAAATGATCATAATTTTCACATCTGCATGACCACTGCAAGTCAATGTAAAAGGAAAGAGATGGATGGAGTATGACTTTCACAGCCAGGTTGATATTGCACAGCTAACCCGAATACTGTGACACATAGAGTTACTTTGCCAAGTGCTGTGCAAGGCTATAGGGTCTCATGAAGGAAGGTTAATAATGAAATATTAACAAGTGCAGGAAAGAGACAAGAATTCAGTACAAAGAATTTAGGGAAGAATGTCTGGTGATCAAAATGGAACAGGAAGGTGAGCATTTTGGAAGCACTGTGCTACACAGATATGAGCAAACACCGTTGAATTGTAACAGGTCTGATAGAAGGAACTTGGCATTAATTAAGGTTTGTTTTTATTTTTGTCGTGTCAGGAGCGACTTGAGAAACTGCAAGTCACTTCTGGTGTGAGAGAATTAGCCATCTGCAAGGATGTTGCCCAGGGGACGCCTGGATGATTTGATGTTTTTATCATCCTTGTGGGAGGCTTCTCTCATGTCCCTGCATAAGGAGCTGGAGCTGATAGAGGGAGCTCATCCGCCTCTCCCCGGATTCCAACTTGCGACCTGTTGGTCTTCAATCCTGCCGGCACAGGGGTTTAACCCACTGTGCCACCGGGGGCTCCGGAATAACCCATTAAGAGGTGTGAAATAGAGGAAGTTATTAAAAGTTAAAAACTGGGAAAGCTCTAGGTCTAGCTGGATTAGGACCAGAATACTATGAAAATTTCAGAGAAATATTTGTTCCAACATTTTTGGAGTTGTACAATGCAATAATGAATGGAGAGAAAATACCAGATTCATGGAGAAAATCATATGAACACAAAGGAAAGACTACACCACAGGATGTATGCATTTGTAAAAAGGTTTTATTCCACAAATTAACCCTATATATTTTAATTATGAATACTATAATTATCACATTATAATGAGGTGATACAAAAACTGCATATGCACACGTATCTCATAATAAGCATATAAATTACAATCATTAACAAGAATATACTGAAGCAGATACTGCTACATAAAGCAACATACTCTATATGGCTTGCAAAGCATTCTGAAATCAATCTGCAAGAAGAGTTTTTAAAAGTGATTCTCCAAAGGTTGTACATCACAACAGATTGTCAAATTAGGCTTCTAAGCATTGATCTTCTACATATTCCCTCCTCTTTCTCTCAAAGTTGATCTAGTAATGGCCATCTGAGAGCAGAGAGGAAGCTTAAGGAGTGTGACCTCCTGTTAAAGTAGACAAATAAATTTTAGGTTATACTTGTTCCCTCCAACTGTTTTGATTTGGTAGGAATAGTCTTGTTTAATCTTCTGCCATTCCCTTTTTTCAGCTGCTTTTAAAATTTCCTGGTTTCTCTCTCCTTTTTTTACCTTTCCCTTTTACTTTCAGTTTCCTTCACTTGTTTCCAACTCAATTCAAAGTGCAGAAGGAATTAACTTAGGGAGGGAGAGGGCAGGAGGGGTGCAGCCCTGCCCTTTCCAGTAGGCTCAGGCAAAAGCAAACTGCTGCATGCTCTCCTAGTTTGTGCGCCCTTCCTCATCAATACATTTTGTCATCTTGACTACACGCTGATGTTGCTTGGCAACATGTTCCCCAGTTTTCAACTGTGAAATGTTGGGGGGGCTGTTAGTTTCTTCATTGGGCAGATGCTGCCTGAGGACCTTCACTGTCCACTTTTTTTTCGTGTCAGGAGTGACTTGAGAAACTGCAAGTTGCTTCTGGAGTGAGAGAATTGGCCGTCTGCAAGGACATTGCCCAGGGGATGCCAGGATGTTTTGATGTTTTACCATCCTTGTGTGAGGCTACTTTCATGTCCCTGCATAGGGTGCCGGAACTGTTAGAGGGAGCTCATCCACGCTTTCCCTGGATTCGAACCTGCAACCTGTCGATCTTCAGTCCTGCCAGTACAAGGGTTTAACCCACTGTGCCACCCCCCCCCGCCCCCACTGTCCACTAAATTTCCACAGATATGTGTCTTAAGGGAGCACTGTGTGAAGGGATACTGAACACCTTCTGCCATTTTCCAAAAGTGACACATACTTATTCTAATATCTACTTCCTTTTTGTAAGCCATGATTACTCCAATTCGATTCCAGCCACTGTATCCTTTTTCATATTTCTTTTAAAATGTGGGGCTATATTTATGACAGCAACACAATGGAATGTAAGTTACAGCAATGAGAAACCTCCCACAGTTGAATATTATCTTTATCAAGATCATTAGAGAAACCTTTTTTTTCAAAAAGCTATCTGTTTCCAAAACCTCTGGAGAACATCTAACTGTCCTAACCATGTTTATTTAGGAGTTATACAAACTCAGTAGACTGAGTCTCAGAGAATGGCATGTAGCATTAGAAAAAATATCAGTTTGAGTTACAAATCCAAAGAAAGACAGTCCATTGATCTATTTTACAATAGCAACACTCAGTTCTCAGTGAAGCTCTACTCTCAGCATTCATTGAGGTAAACCACTCATTAAATTGTTTTTGAAAATTGAATGGATAGTGCAAACATGCCCACATTCAGGAGAGGTTTGAAAGTAGTATCACCACAGGTACCATGAATAAGAATAGCCTGGTCAGCTGATCAACTGAAGATAGAGTATCTTACAGGACGACTGATATTAGAGGGAAGAGTGGAGGTTTTCACTGGAGCAATAGCGCAAAAGAGACCAAGATGAGTGTCACACTGGGGGTTTTGGACAGCCCCCCATTCCTTTTTATATCAGTGTTGTTATGAGACACTCCAATCTTTGCTTGGATCCAATCAGCATAAAAAGGAACTGAGGCGTAGACACCGGGGAGATTGGGTTTACCACAGTCAATTCCCCAACTCACAACACCGGCCTGGATCCAGACTCCATTGTGATTGCAAACCAAGGGTCCTCCAGAATCACCCTGTGGAGAGAGAGATTGTGAAGAGGGACTGAAATTAGCACATGGCTCTGGAAAACTTCTGATGATAGATTAATGTAGTTTGACAGCCATAACTCAGTGGAATTGAGTGATTGTAAAACTACCACTCTCATGATTCCATAGTATTGAATCAAGTGCTGTCAAACTACCAAAATTCTGTGGTGTAGATATAGTAATTTAGCTAGGACCATGGTTAGAAAGTCTGTGCCTGGCAAGCGCATGCTAAACCAGATAGGCCAGGACAGAGAAACCAACTCACCAGGTTGAAGACAAGCCACAGAGGTTTATTACAATTTGGCCAAAAGGTAGGCAAGTACAGCAATTTGTTTCAAAATGTATAAGAATAAACATACAGAGAAATACAAGACATCTTATACAGCTCTGACAGCTATTCAGACTTCCCGCTCCCTCTCCAGATTGGCCAGAAAGGAGACTGGCTAGAATCTGTGCCAGGATTGACTGGGAGGGAGAATGGCAGCTGGGGATTGGTCAGAGTGAAAGGCCAATCAGCTTCTGAGAGGACACAGTCTAGGGAAAACAAATACTAAAGTTATGTTGATGAGCTCAAATGTCTAGTTCTGTGCTAAACAAAGATATGGATCTTAGAAAACAAAAGTGTAGGACTCAAGGGGAAAAGGTGCTGATTTTGGGTAATCAAGGGCTTGGCTGTCAATAAAAGAGTTAACGAATGCACAGTAGAGTATCTCAGCTTCTATTTCCACAAAGGAGCAGCAAACTGTCAGCTTCATGTGACTTTTACCAACCTTTTGTGCTTATCTGACTGGCAAAGGAAGTCACCCATGTTTGCATACACACAATGAATCTGATGATTATCTGGCTTGGGAAATAGCCAGAGGGATTTGCCTATTCCCAGGAAATTATCTAATAGGATCACAAATGGCTGGCTGTTTCTAAGTTAAATTTGGATACACTTCTAAGAAGCAATTATATATTAGAAACAGATCCAGTATGCAGTTTACAGACACAAGTTACACAAAATCATAAAGCATATGCAATTTATTAAAGGGTTAGATACGATAGAGTTTAGGGGTTTACAGCCACTACTGATTCAGTCTTAATCTTCTGATGCTTTGAACTAGTGTAAGACCAAAAACAGAGAAATCATATATTTATTTCTGAGCCCTGGTGAACTATAAATCTTTTATGGGGGAGAGGCACTGTGACTCAAAAACATGGATGCACTCTTGGAAGACTAGGTAGATGAAGAGGTTTGAATATGGTTCTCATCTCAGCCCTGCTTGGAGATTCTGGGATATATAATGCAAAAAGTACTTTTTTGTTCTGGGGGACAGCAATACAGGATTCCACTATTGTGCTATAAGCCTAAATGAGGGTCAGATTGGATGACAAGAGGAATGCATGTTCACTAGAATTAACACATTTTACACCCCTCAATTGTTGGGGGTTATTTTCCAAAAGGAAAAGGCATTCCTAAATAGGTAATGCTGCAACAATAACAGCAGCAGTTCAGCAGATCAGAAGCGTTTAGTGCCAGCACTAGAGCGTTTGAGCGTATGCAATTCAGGAGCAGAGTCAAACATAAAAGTTATGCATTTTATTCAAGGAACAACATAACTAAGTAGGAGAGATAACAGGGTCTATCTTACAGCAGACAACTTTTCCCTCTCCATGAGAAGAATGAAAATGGAGGAATCAGGGGCTTGCCATGTGCTTGGAAAAGGAGGCCTGTCCCCGAGAAGTATTGGTCTAACTGGCAAGGTGAAAAGAGGAGAGAATAGAGAGACAGTCAGACAAAGAGGCCAGTGTGGGCAGGGCTTTCCCCTGCCAACTAAGGGCCCTTCCAGACAGGTCCTATATCCCAAGGTCTGATCCCAGGTTTTCTTGTTTAAACTGGATCATATGAGTCCACACTTCCAGATATCTGAGATAAACAGAAAACCTGGGATCAGATCCTGGGATATAGAGTCTGTCTCGAAGGGTCCTAAGTCTTTGATGAGAACTACAAACTTGTCCCAATAACAATGGGATTCTGTGGTCATGATTTCCCTTGAGATATATTTCCTGTATGGATGTACATTATTGAGTTTAACATATCCTAGTAGCAAAGTTAAAGAATCTCGGAAGGCAGGTGTATTCAGAACATACATTAGCATACCTATATTCCAATGTATTGCTTTCCTTTGCCCCTACAGAAAACTGTACTGAGCAAAAGAAAAATGGAGTATCCTACCTGGCAAGAATCTTTGCCACCTTCCAAATGTCCAGCACAGATCATATCAGACTTGACAGGATTGTCTTCCACATCCTTCAGCTGGGATCTGTTAAAGAGCATGTTGCATTTATCTCGGTCCAAGATTGGCATCTCCACTTGCTGAAGAGTTTGTGGGGGCTTCAGTGGCACTGTAAAGGGAAGAAAGCCTATGATTTAGAGCGCATTGCTATTTCCATAATTCTATCTCTGAGCTCACTGGAGAAAAACATTCCGTGTACTGTAGCAGACATGGACCATTTTCTACCCCATACTGAATTCAGGAAACATTCCTCTTTTTTGGGAGACAGATTGGACTAATTCAGTGGTTCTCAATTTTCCTAATGCTGCAACCCCTTAATATAGTTCCTCATGCTGTGGTGACCCCCAACCAAAAATTATTTTCATTGCTACTTCATAACTGTAATTTTGCTACTGTTATGAATCATAATGTCAATGTTTGAATACTGGTAGTGTTGGTGGGGGGGATCATTTTGTCATTTTGGAGTTGTAGTTGCTGGGATTTATAATTCTCCTATAATGATGGAGTTCATTTATGAACTCCACCATTGATGGAATTGAACCAAACTTGGCACACAGAACTCCCATGACCAGCAGAAAATACTGGAAGGGTTTGGTGGGCATTGACCTTGAGTTTTGGAATTGTAGTTCACCTACATGCAGTGAGCACTGTGGACTCAAACAATAATGGATCTGGACCAAACTTGGCACGAATAACCCAATATGCCCAAATGTGAACACTGATGGAGTTTGGGGAAATAGACCTTGACATTTGAGAGTTGTAGTTCCTGGGATTTATAGTTCACCTACAAACAAAGAGGTTTCTGGACTCCGCCAATGATGGAATTGAACCAATTTTGGCACACAGAACTCCTATGACCAACAGAAAATACTGGAAGGGTTTGGGTGGCATTGGCCTTGAGTTTTGCAGTGTTAGTTCACCTACATCCAGAGAGCAGGAGGAGGGCTTTTGGTGGGAGGATTCACCCTTTGTTTCAAAAAAGGAAGAGAAGAACAGGTGGAGAGATCTTCAGATTTCTCTGCCAAAGAGTTTCCTAAGACATCAGAAATATGTGTTTTCTGATGGCCTTTGGTGACCCCTCTGAAACCCCCCTCACCAACCCCTCGGGGGCCCCAACCCCCAGGTTGAGAAACACTAGTCTAATTGGTTTCTGTTTCTGCCACTCAACATCCTTTACAACTTCTCAGAGCAATTTTTAATCCTTTCTATGCTCCAAACAGCAGTGGTTGGGAAGATGGAGTGGGGAATATAGAAGTTCACAATACCACTGTGGCCATCCACATGATGAAATAGTTGGTCCACTACATAGGTGCTAGAGGACCTACAGATTCTTAAGGAGGTGGTCTCTCAGATAAAAAGTGGTATTTTTTATTCTTAGTTTTTCCACTTTCACAGAGGTCTTGAAGTTAATGTGGATGGCCTATTGTAGTTGTGGAGAAATGTAAGGCTACATTTGGAATGAGGAAACTGTTCTCAGCAGCATCCTTTTAGAAGCTCTGGTTGTGATCTCATCCTTGACTCAATGAGTTCAGTTATTGAATGTTTCTCCCTCTCCTCACCTTCTTGCTGAATGTCTCCCCATCCAGTGACCCAACATCTTGCACCTGTAGAGAATTGCATAGAGGACGTTGGCAGACAGACTGGGAGGATGGCATCTGAATACTTCACTGGGAAAGTGAGCTCCACTAAAGCAATGTCTGCACCTGAACCTGCTTTGCTGGTGTAGTTGGGATGGATGATAACCTGTTGAACTGTAGAAGTCACAGTGTCCTTCGAATCATTTGCCAGTTGGTAAATACCTAGCCGAACAGTTATTATCTTAGTGAAATCAAGATTCCTGTAAATATGAAAGTACAAAGTGTTGGTTATAATCTTTAAAGCATTGTCCAGGTTACCTACAGATTGCCTTCCTTCTTACAATCCACCTGATAGATTCAGCTCCTATGAGAAACATTTAATTTAACCATTCAGAACTGGCAGTTGTCACCCAGAGGACCTTTTTGTTGGCTGCTTCTAAACTGTGGAATCACCTGCTGGATTCAGTAGTGAAATGTGCAATCTGAATGTTAAAATGATCTAACTCTCACAGCATATGAATTTTAAATTGGCACTTCAGATGTATAGATGATTTTAATTTATGTTGTGTTTTTAATATAATGTTTAAATGGTCTCATGTTTAATTATCTATTGTACTTTAACTCTTCATACCTTGCATCAAATATTGGGGAGAGGTGGTTAAGAAATAACATCATTATTTCTTCTTCTTCTTCTTCTTCTTCTTCTTCTTCTTCTTCTTCTTCTTCTTCTTCTTCTTCTTCCTCCTCCTCCTCCTCCTCCTCCTCCTCTTCTTCCTCTTCCTCTTCTTGTATTTTGTATATATGTACACAATGAGATATCTTTGAGAAGGGACCCAAATCATGCATGCTTTATATGCACTTTATACACATAGCCTGAAGCTAATTGTTTTTCATAATTTTGTGCATGACAATTTGAACCATCCAAAAGCAAAGGTATTGCTGTGTAAGCTATTTGTGTGGACAATTTAGGATTTTGGACCATTTCAAGTAAAGGATGCTCAACCTGTACCACCAACATTGTATTGCAATTCACCCGGAGTTCTAGCTTGTTATTTGCCTTTGAGATAAAAACTGACCAGAGCTTTACAGCCACCTGTGTTGGAGACTTACCATGGGAAGCAGTGAGCTGCTGACAGCACCCATTGCCTGGCGATGAGGGTGCCTCCACAAAGATGGATATTTTTGGGTTGTTGTAGGTTTTTCGGACTGTTTTTCACTGAAATGCTGACTTGCCAGGGCCAGACCCTCTCTAAGGCTGGTTGGCCCCCAACAATACGTAGGGTATTTCCTGGGTTCCCGCATACTGTGAAGAAAGGAGAATAAATGAGGGATATATTGGAACAAGTGGCAATAATCACAAAATGGAACAGGAAACCAAATCTTTCAGTGTGGATCCATTTGCAAACATTTGTTTACATAGCTTGAGAGAACATTTCACTTCTTGATTTTACAGGGGCCTTTGTGTGTGTGTGTGTGTGTGAGTGTGTGAGTGGTAGATGGCATTGTGTTGAACCTGGAAAGCTGATATTGTTTGTTTTCTGTTTCAGTTTGGCAGAGACAGTCATGATTATTCCTCTATTGTCCCGCTTTTTAGCTGCTTTTAAAATGTTCGTACATTTTTCCTCTTTCTCTTACTTTTACCTTTATTGAACTTTTCTTCCAGTTGCTACAAAATGAGCTCAAAGTGCAAAAATAGCATGTACTTAATTATATCAACTGGAAATAGGAGAAAAGGGGGCTTGATAAAATTAACTCGGGGGTGGGCAGGAGAGAAGAAGACACATTTTTGCGCTTCCCTGTAGACTCAGGCAAAAGAAAAAATTCTCTAGCCCCTCTTAGCTGGTGCATTCTACCTTTTGCTATCTTGATTTTCCTTGGCTGCTAATGTTCCATTTTTTAATATTTGAAATGTTGGAGGCTATGGGTATTGGTACCCAAAGCACATTGGTCCAAATAGTCAATAGACTCATTATTGGCTCCCCTATGTAATAACATTATGGTCTCTTGCTAAATCCAGTCATCGCAAAAATGTTGAATTCTGTGAGCCAGTGATGTAAGCCCATTCATATAGACTTGGGGTGCTTCTAGATAGCACTAAATAACAGGTTTTAAACAGGGGCAAAAAATCCCAGGACTTCAGAAGAGGTCCAAATTCCAACCTCTTGGTCCTTGGATTTCTGCTTCCATTGTCCAGACTTGACAATTTTGTTGCAAAATTTGGAGACTTCCAAGATGGCCACTGTGGGACTTCTGCTGGAAACTTCAGCTTTTTTTTTAAAACCCTCCAGACGCAAACATGCAGATATGCAGAGATTAAGATATGTGAATCACTACAAAAGTTCAATTCTTTGTCCTGGCCAGAGAAACTGTGCCCTCCAGACTTTTCATGAAGTATCTGCCACACAAAGAAACCCCCTGGGCACAGAAAACTGGACGACTTGGAAGGTGCTGAACAGACTGTGCTCTGGCACCACGAGATGCAGAGCCAATCTTAAGAAATGGGGCTACAAAGTGGAATCCACGACATGCGAGTGTGGAGAAGAGCAAACCACTGACCACCTGCTGCAATGCAACCTGAGCCCTGCTACATGCACAATGGAGGACCTTCTTGCGGCAACACCAGAGGCACTCCAAGTGGCCAGATACTGGTCAAAGGACATTTAATCAACTACCAAGCTTGCAAACTCTGTGTCTTTTGTATGTTTGTTTGTTTGTTCTGTCAAAAATGTAATTCAACTGTTCAGTTGCCTGACATGATAAATAAATAAATAACATATGCTTTTATCCTGTCATAATTGCACTTTAGTAGCTTTGTGTGATAAAGTCCTAAATTTCTGGGATTCCAAACTCAAGGAATCCATACTCAGTCTTGAAAGCAGCAGTTTGACCTCTTAGTATCCCATATTTGTTATTCTTTAAATAAGAAACAATCTGTTTTTTTTTCAATTTACTGATTACTGATAAGAAATATAACTATTCAGAAAAGTGATGTTTAGTGGTGCTTATATGCTGTGGGGGCCGCAGTGGTGCACTGGGTTAAACCGCTGAACTGCAGAATTTGCTGACCAGAAGGTTGCTGGTTCAAATCCTCAGGACAGGGTGAGCTCCCATTGTTAGCCCCAGCTCCTGCCAACCTATTGATCTACTCACATGCAAATGTGAGTAGATCAATAGGTACTGCTTCAGCAGGAAGGTAATGGCGCTCCATGCAGTCATGTCAGCCACATGACCTTGGAGGCGTCTACGGACAACGCTGGTTCTTCGGCTTTGAAATGGAGATGAGTACCACCTCCCAGAGTTGGACTCGATTAGACTTAATGTCAAGGGGAAACCTTTACCTTTATCTTTAGTGTGCTGAGGTATTTGGGAGCAGAGAGTGTTTTGTTTAGAGGACTAGCTTGGAAAATTGTGGGTTTTTTTGGGGTTACATCCCCCCCAAATTCCTCAGTGAGCATGGCCACTGCATATGGTTTAAATATGTGAAAGCATGTCATATTGAAAATGGAGCAACCTTGTTTTTGGCTATGCTAGAGGTTAGGCCATAGAGCAAAGGATTCGAACTACATGAAAAGAGGTTCCACCTACCAAACACAAACATAATTAAAATACCTCAACAAATGAAACTACTCATAAGAGAGAGTAATCTTATTCAGTTAAAACCCAACTCCATGCCAAAGACCTCTTTGTATTCTTTCCAATATCAGCTACTAGGCTCATGCAGTTCATTTGTGAACATACACAAACAGATGCTTGTTTTGGTCCTGAAGGCTTCCCATGGTGGTTGACCATTAAGGAAACAAAATACTGGACCAAATAGGCTTTTGATTTTACTTAGTACGCTATTCTTATGTTTGTGGGATTCTGATTAGGTTTATACTTTCTTTTAATATTTTTTGTGTATACGTGGAGAATTCCTACCTTCATCTGAACTGGCAGCACCTGTTTGGGGAAAAAACCAAAGGGGAAAATATAAGAGACACAGACGCAAAATATGCAAAAATAAGAAACCCATGTAACTTGATATATTGCTCATTTGGAATCTGGATGTCATGTTTTACTGCTGGAACCTGTTGTTAAAATGTCAGGAAATGTCCTGAAATATGTCAAGTAGGAAGTCAGCTGCTAACAACCCTTTTGCTAGTGAAGCAACACACTTTTCCAGTGAGTCCAATTAATCACCTGCTAATTCCTCATTTTCTGTTGTAGTTCTAGTTGCAGTAAAAAAACTTTACTACCTCCAGCAATAAACATTTGTAAAGCAGATTTAATGATCCAGTTGTGGGTTCTGGGAGTTGTAGTGAAGGGATTGGATTCTTCCTCACACTTCAATTCTAGGCAGACCTCTGGCTGCAGGATAGAAATGTAATACAAAAAAACCATTCTTTTGCACATGTATGAAGTGATGTTCCACTAGGAATTATTAAAAAAACGTTTTTGTTGGCAAGATTTACTCCTAGAAAGTTTGCCATTGCCTTCCCCTGAAGATGAGCGAATTTGACTTACACGAAATCACCTACTGGGTTTCCATAGTTGAGCAGGGAGTTAAGCCCCGGTCTTCCAGAGTTTGAGACCAATGCACTATAGCATGCTGGCTCTCTATGATAAAATATGCCAGTTCTATTTTTTCCTTCATCCAATATTGTTATATCTCATATTCTTTCCATCTTAAATAAGATCATGAATTATAGTAACATTTTCAGAAATGTTTTACTAACGATCAGCCACAACCACCACTCACAAAGAACTTTATATATGCTGATGACCTTGGCCTAACAACACAAGCAAAAGAGTTTGAAACAGTTGAAAACCAACTTACTAATGCCCTGAAAGATCTCTCCAACTATTACAAAGATAACCACCTGAAGCCTAACCCTGCCAAGACACAAGTGTGTGCTTTCCACCTACGTAATTGTGAAGCCAATAGGAAACTGAAGGTTACCTGAGAAGGCCAAGAGGTTCTCACTCTAAATATCTCGGTGTCACCTTAGATTGAACACTAACATTTAGGAAACACTGTGCAAACACCAAACAGAAGGTAGCTGCATACAATAGCATCCTGCAGAAACTTACTGGTGCAGACCCAAAATTGATAAAAACATCAGCCTTGGTCTTGTCTTACTCAACTGCTGAATCTGACTGCCCTGTTTGGCACAAGTCTGCCTGTGCTGGTACAGTTGTACCAGGAGCTCCATTTCTGTTTGCTTTGCATTAAATGTTTGTTTGCAATCCCAGGCTTGGGATTTTGCAGCAGGGTGGCTTCCTGCTATAGTTTGCAATCATAGGGCAAGCCACCTGTCAATTATAGATAGTTCCCTGGTCCCGTCCCTTTTTGGTTTTGGAGGGAATAGGAGCCTTTTTGATCAGTTCACACAGAGAAGCTTTCGCACAGGACATAAACGAAGAGCTCCTGTAGAAAGCTTCATCTTCTACAGCTTGGATGGGGAGATATTCAGCCTACAGCCTACAGCTTGGCCGGGGAGAAAAGGCCCCACAGCATGGCTGAGGGACTTCAGCCGGACATCACAGCAAACCTGAACTCCTCCTTTTTCCCTGGATGTCTACAAAGCTCTGCTTGATAAGGGTCACTTGCGGAAGCCAGACACAGTTGGTACCGGGTGCAGGGGCTCCACGTCAACAGAGGCAAGTACAGACTGCCCAGATTAGAAGTTAGGATTTCCCCATTAGTTAATTACAGTTAAGAAGATAGTGCCTGTTCCCAGTGAACAAGATTGCAAGAGCCAATAGACTGTTAAGAAAGCTTGAAAGTACCTGTTTGTTTTCATCAATAAAGAACTTTGTTGGATTTACTTTAAGCCTCTACAGAACTTTGTTTGGGGGAATCTAAGGGCCTTTAATCTGAGGCAGCCCCGGCGTCCTGTTGGGCACACAGAATTTATGTCCTGTCTACAGTCTAATGCACAGGCCCAGCGTGCGACAGCACACTGCCCATGTGAAGCAGGTGAACACAGCACTGAATGAAACATGCAGAAAAATCAAATGTACACTTGTTGATAAGACTCTATAAGCTAGCTGGCATTGCCCCTGCCTCCCCCCGATATGCGATGGGAAGTTTCTGCCAATTGTGAGAGAAATAAGGTTGAACACTGTGAAAGCCACTCACTGCATGGCTATCAGCCTCCTCCCAGTAGACTTAAATCAAGGAAAAGTTTCATGAGAACCATCACTCCTCTAAATGTTCTCCAGCAACAGGAAGAATATCCCTGTGTTATGGGTGATAGGAGACATAATACCAAGAGCGACCCTTTGTGTGAGGAAGAAAAGGTATGTTTATTTTCAGCGGAGACCCTGGCGTGGAATTGTGTCCAAAAGCAAACGAGAGTGAGGATAAAGGCGTTGACTTTCCTTTTTATACATCTTCAAATGAAGGCAAACAAAGAAACATGCTTCTACATATTTAACATCATCACTATATCACCTTAAGCATCATAGAAATATCAAATTATATCTTCCTACATGCAAGGGGCATGTCTTCATATTTTTTTCTAAAGCAGCTTACACAGATCCATCAAGAAGCCTCCTTTTGACCTGTCAGGGGGGAGGGAGAGAAACTCCTTACTTTTTACCTCTGTCTGTGCCTTTCTTATCTCCCCCCTCCTGGAATGTTCACCCCATCTTGCCTGTGCCTTGGACACAGATCCTTCAGCATCCCTTTTGTCCTATCAGCTTGTCTTCCTAATACAGAGAGAACCTGATTTTTTTCTACATTGCAGTGCTTGTAATGTATATACAATACATATATAAATACCTATATTTCCAATATCTCCACATCACCTGTGGGCAGAAAAATCAGGCAATTCCAACTGGATGCCCCCCCCCCCAGAGGGACAACTTGGAGGTCCCTGATTATATATTGGGGGTGGGGGTGGAGCTGGAAAATGAATGTGTCTTTTACAATTTTCCCAATGTTTGACTTTCAAAATAAACTCATGGTCTTCCCCTTCCAAATATGGTGATATTTCCCATGTGTAGTATTTTTTTCATCAAAAGTGAACCGAAACAAAAATGCCTTTCCATTCCTTCCTTCTCCTATGGACTGATCTATTTGGGACATTCCCCACCCAGATTCCTTCAAGATGTACTGGACTGTAACCTCCATATCCTCCCTAGCAATAGTCAGCGTCCAACACATTGGAGAGGCATGAAATTGGAGAAGTCTGTATCAACACTAAGGACACACCTTTCTTTTTCTTTCTTTCTTCCTGTAGTGGGAAGGACACATCCAGTTTCATACAATGAACTCAATTTTCTTCCTTTTTTTCTTGGAAAGTGAACGCCTCTTCAATTTGCATACATTTGTATTTCTTAGCATGATTTGTCATTATATTCCACCCCCTTTAGGTCAAGGGATATCATACTTGTGTTGAGTCTGCTCAGGTTTGAGTATGATCACTATGTGGTTGGAATTCCACCCAGGAAGTTGACAGAAATATAGTGATGAGATATTAAGTTTGATTTAGAAAAATCTATACAATCCAATATTTTGTTCATTGTCTTAAAAGCATGTATCTTTCCTAAAGCCTTCCCTTCATATACTTATTTCAGATATTATCAGTTTCACAATTTACCGGCTGTTAGTTTTGGACTTCCAGTGATTCACGTAGGAGTCCCGGTGGCACAATGGGTTAAACCCTTGTGTCGGCAGGACTGCTAACCAAAAGGTCAGTGGTTTGAATCTGGGGAGTGGGTGAGCTCCCATCTGTCAGCTCCAGCTTCCCATGCTGGGACATGAGAGAAGCCTCCTACAGGATGGTAAAACATACAGGCGTCCCCTGGGCAACGTCCTTGCAGAAGACCAATTCTCTCACACCAGAAGTGACTTGCAGTTTCTCAAGTTGCTCCTGACACACAAAAAAGGTTCTACCTAAGAATCTATGAATATTGTACATACTCAAATGTAGGCCTAGTTTTTTGGCTCCTTTTTACTCTGAAAAGCCTCCCTTGGCTTATGCTCTACAGCAGTGGTTCTCAACCTGGGGTCCCCAGATGTTTTTGGCCTACGACTCCCAGAAATCCCATCCAGTTTACCAGCTGTTAGGATTTCTGGGAGTTGAAGGCCAAAACATCTGGGGACCCCAGGTTGAGAATCACTGCTCTACAGCGTTGTCCTTATGATGCACTTTCCTCTATCCTAAATTGAAGGCGTAACCGTATTGTTCATTCTTTTTGGGTTCCTCTCAAATACACTTTATCTACTACCTCATCCATATGGAATAGATACAAAGATGGAATCAATACAAAGATTCAACCGGAGAGAAACATATGGAATAGATACAAAGATTTCACAGATCCTTGCATTTCTCTCCAGTTGAATGAACAAGCAGGGATTATGCCACTATCACTACTTTAAAGATGGAAACGGGCAGTAGGCAGCCCCACCACCATCACTATCAGAGTTGGCTTCAATCTCTGGATTCTCAGATACAGATGACTTGGTTAGGAAAGACACCAACTGGATCCAGGCTGTGGTGGTCAAAGCAGTTGGGAGAAAAGAAGGGGCTATTTTTCTGGTTTGGGGCTCTCTTTTCGGCCAAGATTGGAGATGGTCAACAGCATCCATCACTGCTTTGTCCTGCTCTAGACCTCAATTCTGGTGAGGATGGATGTTGAGCAGCAATAGCAGCCACCACAAAGTTTGGTTTCAAACGCAGTTAATACTCTCTCTCCACTCCACGCCTCTCTTCTCCCAGAAGATGGAGAAGTCTAAAGAATTCTTGCCTCATTCCTGGAATTCACTGCCATCTCTGCTGTTGTCAACTATATTTTATATATAGGCATTACATACCAAAATTCGAGGGGGAAAATCTGAAATGTAGAATGCTTCTGATCCTAAGTATTTTGAATAAGGATGCTCAAGCTATACCTGTATTTCAAGCTATACCTCAGGATATACCTGAAATACAGCTTAATGGTATAACATTAGAAAGTGTTGACCATTTATTCTACCTTGGCAGCCACCTTTCCACAAAAGTCAATATTGACACTGAAATACAATACCGCCTGAGCTCGGCGAGTGCAGCATTTTTCCGAATGAAGCACAGAGTGTTTGAGGACTGGGACATCTGTAGGGATACCAAGGTGCTTGTTTATAAAGCTATTGTCCTCCCAACCCTGCTATACACCTGCGAGATGTGGACTGTCTACAGACATCACATGCAACTCCTGGAACAATTCCATCAGCGTTGCCTCTGAAAAATCCTGTAAATCTCTTGGGAAGACTGGTGGACAAAGCAAAGACCACCAGCATTGAAGCAAAGGTCCTCCACCATCAACTCCGCTGGACCGGCCATGTTGTCCAAATGCCTGACCACATCTCCCAAAGCAGTTGCTCTACTCCGAACTCAAGAACGGAAAATGGAATGTTGGTGGACAGGAAAAGAGATTTAAAGATGGGCTCAAAGCCAACCTTAAAAACTCTGGCATAGACACTGAGAACTGGGAAGCCCTGGCCCTTGAGCGCTCCAGCTGGAGGTCAGCTGTGACCAGCAGTGCTGCAGAATTTGAAGAGGCACGAATGGAGATGAAAGAGAGAAACGTGCCAAGAAGAAGACATGTCAAGCCAACCCCGACCAGGACCGCCTTCCACCTGGAAACCGATGTTCTCACTGCGGGAGAACATGCAGGTTAAGAATAGGGCTCCAAAGTCACCTACATATCTACCGCCAGTACACTGACCCTGGGGGACAATCCTAAGTGGACAATGAGGGATCACCTAAGTAAGTAAGTAAGTAAGTAAGTAAGTAAAGTCAAGCTATACCTAACCAAATAACTTCTCCTAGCCTGAACTCCTCCTCATTGCATTTTCATAACAACTGTTTGAATCAAAAAACGGTGAGAGGTCAACCAATGGGTTCATTCAGAGTAGGAGAAAGTATCTGACTACTTTATGTTGACTGGAGGAATGTGGGAACTACAGTGCGAAAAGTGGCTTGTGCATGGTTTGGATCTCTCAAATCCTAGACCACCATGGTAAACACTATACCTCAATTATTATTTTTTCATAAGGAAGACACCTCTTGGTTCACACAACATTTCTGCTAAACCTTGGCATTATTGCTTTCTCTTCCACCTCCCCCTAAAATTTATACTCCTTTGAAAGTGATGTGGAAATTTGGGGGGTTAATATTCACATCTTTAAATAACACTCTCAGTCACCTTGAAGCATCGTCACTTGTAGCAACCACAGGGCCAGCAAAGAAGAAATCAGTGTCATGAATGCTGAATCTTTTGCTCTGAATTGTCCACCAAACAGTTCTACTCCAAACAACTGCATAGAAGCAGATGTTTTGCTTCAGTGTCAATATAGATTAGTAGCTATGCTGTAATAAAAAAGGGGATAAGTGATTAACAACAACAACAACAACAACATCAACAACATCAACTTTATTTTTATACTGCGCCACCATCTCCTCTAGGGGACTCAAGACAGCTTACAAAGGGACAAGTCCAGAGAGTTACAGATAAAAACAGAGACATAATTAAAATCAATCAATACGATAATAAAACAACACAGTCATAAAACAACATGGCTGAGATAATGAGAACATAGCTGAGTTCAGGCTCAATGAGTGCAAAATTCCTAAAAGGAGCCCATGGAAGGTGCCGAAATCACATGAACAAGGGCTGGAGGATACTATTGTCGAAAATATCAACAATTTATTTGTATTCCACCCTATCTCCCCGAAGGGACTCGGAGTGGATTCCAGCATACACAGACACAATGCCTCAAAACAATGAAACACAGGTACACAGATAACCGTAAAGGTTTCTCCTTCATCTCTGGCTCTGAGAGTGATGCTCATCTCAGTTTCTGGTCAGCAAGTTCAGCAGCTCAATGGTTTAACCCGTTGTACCACCACAACTCTGCTCCTTACCCATGGATGTCTTTGGGCCCTTCCAGACATGCCCTATATCCCAGGATCTGATCCCAGGGTTTCTGCTTTGAACTGGATTATATGGGTCCACACTGCCAGATAATCTGGGATAAGCAGAAAACCTTGGATCAGATCCTGGGATATAGGGCCTGTCTGAAAAGGCCCTTAGTTAGTGAAGCTAGACTGAAAAGTAGGAGAATCCACATTTGTCTGTGACTAATGTTCAGCTGTCCCAGTTGGACTGGCAAAGTCCCAATATGCCAATTTACCTTTTTTCTTCCATTCCTTCCTTCATCTTACTTTACTTCATTGTGTGAAAGCACCTAGAGCACCTTGAGATTTCTAGATGACATCTTAATCAAATCTGTGAACAATCAAATCCTCAAATGTGGAAGGTTGACTGTTCTAATAACAGAAACTGATATAACAACAACAACAACAGCAACAACAATAACAACAACATTCTTTTTCTCAAGAGGAATGCCTGACAATTATGTAGCCTCTTATGTATTAAGACCAGAATGAAAATGCAGGTTAGGTCAATGAAATGAAATGAAATCCAAACTGAGAAATGTTCCCAACTGCTAAAAAAATATTTTCATGTATGAACAGCCTCTTCTGGATATTCTTGCTCTTACCTTGTTATTTTCTAGCTCATTGACAAAGATGTTGAATTCAACAACTTTCTTCTGGTTCTGGATTAAAAGGGAGAAAATCCCTTTATACATATTTTTCTATGAAGTACTCTTATGTATTAATAAAAGTAAACAGGCTAGTTTCCTGGTTTGAAGAAAAGGTCTCTCTACCTTTTCATTATAATTCTAAATAGTTGCCGGTAAAAGGTGTGACTCAGCATTGTATGGAGTGCTGTTTCCCTGAAGAGGAATTTTTCATAAACAAATAATCTTTTATTTGCAAGAATGTTATTGATATTTCATTGTGCCTCTAAGCAGTTCCTGTGAAATTGTGTCAATTTGTGGTACTGTGATTGTATTTCTGCATACCCCCTGACCCTACCTTCCAACACTACCTCTGTTATTTAATTTTCCATTTTTATTTTCAAAACAATTTTATAAGTCCAGCTTTTAAAAATAAAAAAGGCAAATATAACTATTAAATACTAAGTTATTCACCCAATGGGAGAATTATGCCCACTGGAGACACATTATTGTCAATATGCCAGCAGAGAAGTGGAATGGACCCATTTCACCAAGGTAGGTGATGGAAATATTGCAGAACTGTAAGCTCATGACAACTTGTACTCAGTCTCTTCCTGTTCTTTTCCCTTTTGAAATTTAACTTAAAATTCAAAGTGCTGGCTTTAACCTATAAAGTCCTAAAACAGAGTTTTGAATGGGCATTTGAGGGGTTGAATGGGCATTTAGGAGGGGTCGAATGGGCATTTAGGAGGGGTCGAATGGGCATTTAGGAGGGGTCGCCAAAGACAATCAGAAAACACATATTTCTGATGGCCTTAGGAATCCCTTTGGCAGAGAAGGCTAAAGATCTCTCCGCCTGTTCTTCTCTTCCTTTTTGGAACCAGGTGGCAAATCCTCCCACCAAAAGCCCTCCTCTGCTGTGATTGGCCAGCCTCTCATCTGGGCTCTTAGCAAAGGAGAGGGCTGTTTTTGTGACTCCAAGCAGGGAGGGGAGAGCAGGCACATGGCAGTGTGGTGTGCATGTGCGGGCAAGGGAGAGTGCGCAAGGCTGGATGGGGGCTTGCACCAGTGGTCAAGTCCTTTCCAGGCAAAGGACTGAGAGTGGCCCAGCAGTGACAGGAGGAGGAGGAGGAGCAGAAGCAGCTTAGGTAATTTGTAACACTATTTATTAGAAAAAAGTAGCAAATTACAGTTATGAAGTAACAACGAAAATAATTTTATGGTTGGAGTCACCACAACATGAGGAACTGTATTAAGGGGTCGTGGCATTTGGAAGGTTGAGAACCACTGCCCTAAACGGTTCTGGCCCAGCTTACTTGCCTGAACATATCTCCCTCTATGGTCCACCTCAGAGGCTAATATCGTTGGGGGAGGCCCTGCTCTCAGTCCTACCTCCTTCCCAGGTGAGGTTGGTCGGGACGAGAGATGGGGCATTCTCAATGGTGGCTCCTCATCTATGGAACGCCCAACCCAGTGACATTAGGTTGGCTCCCTCCCTCCTGACCTTCAGGAAAAAACTAAACACATGGTTCTGGAATCAGACTTTTGGTCAGTAATGGGAACAGTGCTGTAAGAGATTATAAATAATAATAATAATAATAATAATAATAATAATAATAATAACTTAGTTCTGTTTAACTGGTAAATGATCAGATATTTTCCCTTGCAGAACAAGATAATTCATACTGCAAAATGGCTTTGAGGCACTTCTGCACCAGTACCTATAGACTCCCTGTGATGTAAGTGCGGCAGCTCCAGAAAAGACTAGTCCAGATTATTTTGCCTGGCCTAGACACAATCTGAAAGTTTAACTACAAACCCTTTTCAATCTCCAAAGTGTTATAGGGCTCCTTCATGTCTTTTTTATTGTGATTTCGACTAGAATTAGGTTTAGCAGTTTAATGCATTTTTGATTTGGGAATCTGAAAAAGGGATGGTCAACCTGTATTTATTTATTTCATTATTTATTATTTATTTACTGTATTTTTACTCTGCTCTATCTCAACTCTGAAAGGGACTCAGAGCTTCCAGATTAGGCTTCCAAATTAGCAATAATTCGATGCCACATTAACATAAAACAATCAAAACACAAAATACATTGAGCATTAAACTCATGGAAATCATAAAACATTAACATATAAATACATGAAATAAAGGTGATTTTGTGATACGAAATCCAGCATATAGATTTCGTTTGCTGTGACATACTGTGTTTTTGTGTCAATAATAATAATAATAATAATAATAATAATAATAATAATAATATCTTTATTTATATCCAGCTTTTCTCCCTAACAGGACCCAAAGCGGCTCACAACATAATACAATACAAATCATAGAATCAAAGAGTTGGAAGAGACCTTATGGGCCATCCAGCCTCTGTTTAAAAGCTTCCAAAGAAGGAGCCTCCACCACACTCCGGGGCAGAGAGTTCCACTGCTGAATGGCTCTCACAGTCAGGAAGTTCTTCCTCATGTTCAGATGGAATCTCCTCTCTTGTAGTTTGAAGCCATTGTTCCGCGTCCTAGTCTCCAAGGAAGCAGAAAACAAGGTTGCTCCCTCCTCCCTGTGGCTTCCCCTCACATATTTATACATGGCTATCATATCTCCTCTCAGCCTTCTCTTCTTCAGGCTAAACATGCCCAGCTCCTTAAGCCGCTCCTCATAGGGCTTGTTCTCCAGACCCTTTATCATTTTAGTCGCTCTCCTCTGGACACATTCCAGCTTGTCAATATCTCTCTTGAATTGTGGTGCCCAGAATTGGACACAATATTCCAGGTGTGGTCTAACCAAAGCAGAATAGAGGGGTAGCATTACTTCCCTGGACCTAGACACTATGCTCCTATTGAAGCAGGCCAAAATCCCATTAGGTTTTTTTGCCGCCATATCACATTGTTGGCTCATGTTTAACTTGTTGTCCACGAGAACTCCAAGATCTTTTTCACACGTACTGCTCTCAAGCCAGGCATCCCCCATTCTGTATCTTTGCATTTCGTTTTTCCTGCCAAAGTGGAGTATCTTGCATTTGTCACTGTTGAACTTCTTTTTGTTAGTTTTGGCCCATCTCTCTAATCTGTCAAGATCGTTTTGAATCCTGCTCCTGTGGAGTATTGGCTGTCCCTCCCAATTTGGTGTCGTCTCAAACTTGATGATCCTGCCTTCTAGCCCTTCATCTAAGTCATTAATAAAGATGTTGAACAGGACCGGGCCCAGGACGGAACCCTGCGGCACTCCACTTGTCACTTCTTTCCAAGATGAAGAGGAAGCATTGGTGAGCACCCTCTGGGTTCGTCCATTTAACCAATTACAAATCAAAGCACATTTAACATGAAATACAAGACAAAAATCACACACAGCATAATAACACCCAGAAATAAGATACAAATAAATATTAAGCATTAGAAACATTTAAAAGCAATTACTAATGTTGTGAAGACCCATCAATTATTAAGAGAAGTCTTCACAAAAAAAAACCCTCTGAAAACAAAACAAAAACAAAACAAAAGTCCCCACTAAAGCCCAGGAGGAACAGAGTCGAAAGTAGAGAAGCCCCAATCCAATCCAAGCCTGATTTCAATACTAAGTTGTTGTTCAAAAGGAGGCTGGTTGATAAAATTCCCCAGTAATGTCAT